AAAAAGGATTGGAATTGTGTTTTGTTTTTGGTGTTTAGATTTTTTTTTCTTTTTTTTTTTTTTATAGTAGTAGGCCAGTAGAATTCTCATGAGAACAGATTGTAAGCACTTCAATGGAGAGTCATTTTTTGGTTGTTTCCAGAAGGTGCCAAACAGATTTCAACATCATAATAATTAGAAATACCCATAATAATTATAACAATAATAAAAAGGTATAATATGATACATAAATATGGAAGAGCAGTTTGTAATATGAATACATTTTCTCTAGACGAGATCACAGTTTTATTTTGTAAATATTACATTTAAGTATATATATACACACATATATGTACAACTATATATACATGTGCATATATATGTAAATTTATATTTATATATAATATCTTTATATAGATAGATATCTGTGGACAGGTTATTGATTATAGAGACCCAAGAAAGCAACTCAAGAATTGTTCAAAATTCTCCTCACTGACTGCTGGTGTATTAGTTTAAGAAGCCCCGAGTTGTTTGCACTCAGAATGCCATATCTTGTTTTAATGGAACACTTAATGTGGAATTTTAAGTCTGAGAAGGAGAAGAGATTTTAGTGACTCCCTTCCTCTGTGAAGTTGGAAATGGCCCATAAGTCTTGAATAGACCACAAAGTAAACTGACTTTTTCACTGGAAGATGTAATTGGCTTTTAATAAAATTCTAGAACTGGTAAAGGCCAGAATAGGGGGAGAAAAATCCAGTTTGCCTATGAGTGAAATATTCCCGAATACAAGCCTCTCTCTTAAGGTGGATAATAAAATCCAGGAGCTCCAGCTTTATTCCTTGAAATATCTGATGAGCACTCCCTGTCTTGTGTAGATGGCCACTGGGCCCGTGCATTCTTGAAAAAGTAACCCATGGACTTTGTGTCTCTCTCAGATTGCCACAGCCCCTTTAGACCCTCAGGGCCTCACCATCCCCTGCCATCCCACTGTGAGGTAGGTAAGTAATATCATCCCCATTTTGCAGCTGGAGAAACTGAGGCAAATGGAGAAGCTCTTTGTTGACTTGTTGAAGATCACTAGCCAACTACAGCCTGGCATCAAGAATTCCAGGTTCTTTCTTTAGAGACATAACTCCTCTCCTGGCTATCATTACAGTTCTTTTAAAGATCAATCGGTAGGAATTTGGCAAAATTTGAATAAGTTAAAAAGAACAGGCTTTTATTCCTTTGCTACTTAGATTTTATGTTTGCTGTTTTGCTTGGTTTGTTTTTTTGTCGTTTCTCAAAAACCAGGGGAATTACCTGTCTGGTCATGTAGCAGCTTTTTAGGAAAGTGGACCGTGCAGTGTGATTCTAAGTGCAGTCTTTAGAAAGCCCAGTGCTCTACTGGTAAATACAAACATTTTATAAAGTGAAAAGCACAACACACTATGTCCCCTTAATATCAGGTAAAACCAATTTCAAGCCCTTCCCACTCCCTACTAACACCGATTGCCACCAAACATATAGACAAAATGCTCCCCCAACAACAACAAATCAAGGGGGAAGATGCCTTATTTCCTGGACCCTATCACAATGTACAGAAAATAACAGCATTATAAAATCCCGCTTTATGTCTCCTTCTAGGGAAATTTTTATGCTTGTGTCTACCTACTCAGCCTGTAGAATAAATAGTTCCCTTTAGCAAGCACAAAAATAGTTTTGTTTTTTTTTAATTCTTAGTTTTAATCATGCATTTTTATTTCCTTTTCATCTCTTTGTCTTCTATCAATCTCTATCTGTACAGCTTTGTTACCATCAATTTCTCCTTTTTATTTTCCCACTTGAAGTAGTTCCAGAAAACACACACACACACACACACACACAAGACACAAAAACCTCAAACTGTTAACTTGGATTTATGGTTTTCTTTCTTCCTTTCCTCCTTCCTTTTTCTTTCTTTCTTTCTTTCTTTTTCTTTTTAAAACACAGGTAAGACCTATAACAAATTGACAGTTACAACCAAGTTAAATTGAACCTGGAAGGGAGGTAGCTGAAATCTGTCTCAAAGAATTATTTTCAAGAAATAGCATGTAAGCATGGGCCAAGGTGGAAAAAAGACCAAGAGAACTGTCTAGGCAGTAACTCAACATGCTGAAGCCAGGAGTAGCAGCCGATACCCTCCATCTTCAAAGCCCTGCTATTCATGACCATCGATCGCTCCCTTTCTTAACACCCTAATTCAGCCACCAAAATGGACTTGCCAGGGACTGTCTTCCCTTAAGAGGTGGTTGGCACAGAATATGGGGGTAATACAAGTCCTCTGGGCATGCAGTTAGGGTTGTGGCTCGGAACGGCTCCCCAAAACAGGGTTTGGAGAACCGTCTTCCTCATCTTTTCTTTCTTGCTGCCAACAGGCTAATACTTCTTCAGACCCAGAACCCCCAACTGCTTTAGGGCCCCTGAGCTGCTGATAGACAACAGGGCTTCACATCTGCCTCCTTGTGAGTACTCCATGATCCTAAACAGGAGATAATCGAAGGGATACGACAATGAGTTTATTCCCAGAAAGAAAACGAAGCCAGAAATCAGTGCATTGATTAGAATGGAGTCTCTTTCACTAAGTTTTGAGAAGGACCTTCCATGTGGGCATGAGGCTGGCCATCTGTCAGGTAGCCTGTCTTGCCTAATATCCTTGGCAAATATGAATTTATGAGTAACAGGTTTAAATGACGGTCAGGAGGAGACTGGGTGGCTCCTTGCTCGACTCAATCTGTGGGTCTGAAGATAGAAGTCAGCCTCTAGGAAGCTTTGCTCAGCTGGAGAGTGTGGGCACAGACTGGGTGAGGGTGAAGGCAGAAAGGATGAGAGTCAACTGAAGGGAAGCTGGTGAGGTTTTTCTGTGGTTCCTGCAACCCCATTATCAGTGATGGCGTCTTTGGGTCTCCAAGGCTTTTTGCACTACTGATTGGTATGACAGAGCAACTGGGAGGGCCCACACGGTTACCTTTCTTAGTTCGTATCTTGTCAGCTAACCACACACGTTGGTAACTCAGCTAGGGCAAGAGAGGGCTTTACTAGTTGGCAAGAATTCTAAGGTACTGGAAGGAGTACAAAATGGGATCAGTTCTTCCATTTTTATGATTATTTTGCTAAGGATTGCCCCTGGTAACTATAGAAAATGCTCTGGATAGAAATGAGATATGAGTGTGTAAAAGAAGGAAACATAAAGGACTTGAGCCTGTCCTTAACCATGGTGGCAGCTTCTCCATTTTGGAACCTAATCTCAGGGTTTGGAATATGGTACGAGCCACAAAAATCTAAGCTCTGCATCCTAATTTGTGGGCACCTGTGCAAAAAGCACTTTGGTATGTTGGCTTCTCAAGTGTTCTTGGTCGGCAGGTAATCGCTGTTGGGAGTAAGGTAGTAAGAAGGTTCCTGAAGTTATTTTTGGTCCCCATAGGGAAAAAGGACTATGATGAACAGCGCTTGCCTCAGGTGCAGGAATGAGGAGGGTCAGCACGCATGCCTGGGGTTTCCCATTCCTATGCTAGGCTTTGTTTTTGTTGGTTGTTTTCACTAGATTTGAGAGGACTTGATTTATCGCAGTCTTTATATGATACCCTCCCATTGCTTCACTGTCTCAGTCCAGGTCTCAGAAATTATGTCCAGCTTGACCATTCTCTCTACCTCATTCTGTGTTAATTTCTTCCCATATTAATTCAAAAGGAGTGGACAAGTAACTGGTGGAACACAGGCAAAGAGGAGCCCAATGAGGCAGGGCCTTCCACGTGCATTGGACTACCTTCCTCTTAAGTTTTGGAGGCTAAACATGGGAAAGAGGGAAGGATTCACCAACCACAGGTCTGGATGGGAGTCCTGGTAGATGGAAGATGATGTGGAAAACATGATGACCATGTTGGGTTGTTGGGGACTGAGTCTGTGAACTCTTGGGCTTCTCTCTGATGGCCCTCGAGAACATAGTTTAGATGGATCATACCCAAGATGATTCTCTGTCCTAGAATTATAGCTGCTCAGGGCCACAGCAAGGTCCTCAGCACCAAAGCCTGATGTGGCCTGGAGGGCCAGGAAAGCTTGGATGAGGATAATAACTCAAGACTCCCCACTATCCCAGCAGTCTCTGGATGGCCCCAACATCACACACATTTAACACTGGTCCACTTGATTGTAAAATCTAACACTGGTCCACTTGATTGTAAAATCTAACACTGGCTCAGACATTCTGGACTCTCAGTGAGGGTTTCAGCATCTCCAGTCCCTCTACTCCCTTCCAGGATGAGAAGCCCACCCATGGGGGATTTAACTTCTCACCATGTAGGCCGATGAGGAATTTTCTCTTGCAGAAGGGCTAAGAAGTGAGGAGCTGTGGAAAAATGTGGGTCACTTTTAAGGCAGACTGTTTGGTTGTGTGGGGTTTTTCCTAACCTAGTCCTACCATCTTGGGGGTCCTCAACGTATAGGATAGAGCAGCAGGAAAAGTAGCAGCGAATGTGGTCCCAAGGCAAGATTTGGGGAATGGGTGGGTTCTGGAGGGATATTATGGCCTCAAGCAGGGGGCTGTTATAAGACCTTGACACTGCAACCCTATGCCATGTCCAGCTTAGCCGCAAACCCTGGAGTTGGGGTAAAATCCCTCATGGCAGCAGAAGAATTTGGGGGCTTTGCATACCTTGGATTCTTTACCTCGTCCTGGGTTCTACTTCCCTAGAAGGTAGGTGATCAGAGACCCTTCACTTCTAATCCCAAAGGACTGCACGATTGTGCATGCCCTACATGTTCCAAGCCTCAGAGTGCAAGCTATCTTGACATCTCAACACTTGGCCTTGGCAGTTTCTGCAACTCTCTTTCTCCCAAGGACAGTACTGGCTAGGAGCTTGGGAAAGGAAAGACTGACTGTGTTCCAGTTTCTCTCCGCTCAGTCTCCCAAACTGCCCTCACGCAGATGTTTGTTTGGGTGTGTATGCATGCGTGTGTGCTAACCACATATGTGCACACTCCTAAATATAGAACATGTTTCCTGTTGTGGTTGTGTGACAAATGAGAATTTTAGGCTCTGGGACTGCACACTCATCTTTGCAATCCGTCTAAGACTTTGGGATGGGATTCCATTCCATCATCCAGCGTGGTGAGACTTGGCTCATGCGCCCCTACTGTAAGTCCTTCCTGGGTGAAATTAAAGGCAGACCGGTTGGGTGCTAAGGATCCCTGGTGTGGGGAGGCCATTCCGTTGAGCAGCTGACTGTGAAATCAATACCAAAGGGATGCGAGTCCTGGTGCTGGGAATTCTTTGTCAACTCCTTGTCCTTCCTTAGCCATGGCTGTATCCCCGGAGGTCCTTCCGGCTGTGTTCTTGGGCCTGGGGGTCCCGACAAGCACAGTCACCTTGTAGGTCACAGGACATAGGGAAGGGGGTGACCTGCAGAGAGAAAGAAAGAAGAGGTGAGCCAGGTGGTTGGGTCTGATGCAGTAATTTTCAGAGAAGCAGTGCTGAGCAGGAGGACAATGACTGGATTGGGGGGTGGGTGTCGGCAGCAGATTCAAGTTTAAGTCCTTCCTCTGCTTCTTGCTAGCCATGTCGTGACTTTTATCACAATCATTAGAATAGCAACTTTCATTTTTGAGGGCATTTATGATGGGTCAGGCTACTCTGTAAGATAAGTACTAGGACAATCACCCTTTTACAGACAGGGAAACTGAGGCTCTCTGAAAGGGGCAGGCATTTGCCCAAAGTAACAGGTGACGGATATGGTATTTAAAATAGGCAAGCTACTTCTGAGCCTCAGGTGCCCAGCTGTAGAACTGGTATCTATCAGCCCCACTTTGCCCTGGGAACTCTAACGGCTGAAGGACATCATGGGTGAAAAGTGTAATGTACTGTGCCAGAGCTGGTTGATAAGACTGGCACAATGGAATACTTAACTTATAGGGCCGTTGTGGTGGTCAAGTGAAATCTTTTTTTTTTTTTAAACTTTTTTTTTTAAGATTTTATTTATTTGAGAGAGAGAGAATGAGAGATAGCATGAGAAGGAAGAGGGTCGGAGGGAGAAGCAGACTCCCCGCTGAGCAGGGAGCCCGATGTGGGACTCGATCCCGGGACTCCAGGATCATGACCCGAGCCGACTGAGCCACCCAGGCACGTATCTTTCTTTTAAGACAGACATATGCTGGGAATTTTGATATGGGGAGGCAAGGATGAAAACAAGAGCATGTCCCAGCAAGCTCAGACCACTTTCCAGGGGGCCTGAGCTCTTGGTGGGGGACATTTCACACAGAGATTTTGCATAAGGTTTGGTTTGAAGGCTCTCAGGAGCAGATTTTGAGTAAGAAAGGGTGAGAGGTGTACAATGTGCTTTGTTATCCACATATATTATGAAAGCTGGGAAAAATTTTTAAACATGTTTTAAGTGGGGGAGGGGCGCCTGGGTGGCTCAGTCGGTTGAGCATCTGACTCTTGATTCCTGCTCAGGTCATGATCTCAGGATCCAGCCCCGAGCTGGGTGTGGGTCTGTTTGAGATTCTCCCTCTGCCTCTCCCTCCTCTCAAGCATATTCACTCTCTCTAAGGAAAACAATCGTGGGGGAGAAGCCTGAATTTTGGTCCCTGTCCATCCCTTCATATGCTCTGTGACCTTGAGCTGGCTTTCCTTTCTAGAAACTGAGAGAAAGAGCAAACGTCTTCTTCATTCAGCAGATGATCTTTCCAAAGAGCACAGTGCAGTCCCTGCTTGAGCCCCAGCCTGAGCTAACGCAAGTGGATTTCAGATTGCACCTCATTGCATCATGATATTTGCATATAACTTTTCCCAGAGGGTCCCCATCTGCGCAGATGGATTTAATGACCTCATTCGCCTCCTGCCTAGGCAGGGTCTCCAAGTGCTCACACCGTCTCAGAGAACATCTTTGTCCTCCCAGCTTGTGGACTCATTCTCTGTATCAAACTCTTCTTTCTGCCTCTTGGCCTTCCGTCCTTCCTTCACTCCCTCCCTCTCAACCTCTCTCCCTCCTGCAATTTAGCAACGATTTAAAAAGGAAGATTGAAGTATAAGCCCCAGCTCTCTCACCTACTCCTGTGACCTTGAGCATGTGAGGACTTCTGTGAGCCTCAGTTAATTCATTCATTAAATGGGAATAATGAAAGCATATACCTCCTGAGGTTGTGACGAAGGATAAGGGAATAGACGAAAAGCATGTAATGCACAGTTCTTGGCATAGGCTCCGCACATAGGTCAATCAAATGACAGATATCTATCTCCTCATCTCTCTCCCTGAGTGAGGCAGGAACCACGTCAGTCTTGTTCATTCTTGTTTTCTCAGGGCCTGAGCCATCGAATGGAATGAACGTCTGTTCATTTCTCCATCTCTTACTGACCCTTTCATTATATTCATGACTAGCACAACCCTGTCTTTTCAACTTAAATTCATAAGGCGTTCCCAAGAACGGGAAGCATTCTCACAGATTGTCCTTCTGCTTACAACTACTTTACTTTCTGGTCATCCTGCCTTTGTGGAGGCTGTGCCTTCTAATCTAGAGTATTCTACAACCTCCGTATCTCTAAGAGAAGCAGAGAATGTTAGAATTGGAAGAGACAGAGAGGGAAATCCTCCAATCCAAGGCGGGGGGGGCTCCGATGGCAGAGCCAAGTCCAAAGTTAATAACTGAGGTCAAGTGGGGAGAGTACCATCGTGGGAGCCAGGAGGCCTGGACTGGCATCCTTGCTTGACTCATAGTCACTGAACACTTTTGGGAAAATCTCTTCACTTTCCTGACCCTTCGTTTCTACATCTATAAAAGGGTGATTTTTAAAAACACTGTATTTTGTATGGTTGTGAAGATCAAACAAGAATACCCAGAAGCCCCAGCACGTGGTCTAACACTCAGGAGATGCTTGATGCTGAATACATATGTGCTGAATCAAATTTCCCACCAGCTCACATTTCACCATCTGTCATACCTTTGCTGCCTGTCGTCCCTCTCTCCTACCTCCCTGACTTCAGCAGCTTCTTTGTCCTCAACTCAACCCATTCCTTTATCTGTTCTCTTCTCCTGCCCACATTCTAACATTAGAATGATCCAGTTACCTCTAAGGACTCCCTGTGAGCTCCTTGGAGGTAGGGTAGATACATGCCTGGCACAGGGCATGGAGGAGTCCATGAATACAGAGGCTTGTATTCCAATTTAAATGTGGAAACAGTGCTCATGTGGAGGGTAAGGTGGAGAAAAGGGAATGAGATTTGGGTTTGATTCCTTGCCCTGTGCACAATTCTCTCCATCTCTGTGACCCATTAGAGGTAATTTCACATCTGATTTAGTGCTCATGCTTTCTGCTGCACCTCACATAGGCAAAAATTGAACAGACCTCTTAGAATAAGACCCAAAGTCCTTACCATGAAATCAAGCCTTGCATGATTTGATCACACACACTTCTCGGACCTCTCCTGGTCCCCTTCTCTTCACTTTCTGTGGCTTATTTACTTCTTGGTTCCTCAAATACTCCAAGTGTTTTCCTACTTTTTTTTTTTTTTGCCCATAATCAAAACTTTTTTGAAAAACTGACACCAAAATAGATCACTGTTGTACACCTTACAAAAGTAAAACATAATTATATTGGTAGATTAACTGGAATTATATTGGTAGATTAACTGGAATTACTGAACTGATAAGGCTTTCTGTGATAGAACACACGTTCAGGAGGTTGTGTGGATCATTAATGTTGCTTTCTTCTACATGAACACTCTTCTGTGAGTCTGGCCTTTCCTCTGTTGGCTGGCACAACACTGTTGAACAGCCTACACAGAGAACCACCACCTGAGCAAGTCTCCAGCCATTAATGTTCCTCTGCCCTCACTCCTCTTTCCTGGCTCGCTTTTCTTCCACTCTTTAGGTCTCATCTCAGGTGTCACCTCCTCCCTCATTGGTCTGACCAGAGATGGTACCATCACCTATGTTCCATATCACAGCATCCTATGTAAGCCCTTCTTGCACTGAAATGCTCTGAACTTGTATGCCAGCTCAGTCTGGGCAGGGAGCCTGTCTGTTGTTGACCTAGGTATTTATATATCACATAACAGGCCCTCAGTGGACTCATGAATGGAGGAACAAATGAATGCATGAATATATACCCAGATCCAAGGCAGGGAGCCTCTGCTCTTGCCCTCACTTACTACGTGACTATGTACAGGTTACTTCCTTTCTCTGGGCTTCAGTTCCCTTACCTGTACATTAAGATTCAATTTTAATGGTCTCTACCTTCCCATCTGTCTGAAAAGCCTTCTCAGTTTGAGAAAAAAAGCAGAAGGCCAAAGCCCTGGCCAGAAAGGATGTAGGAATTTAGGCTTTCTCCCACAAACCCTGCCTTGAACATTCCCCTTTCTGCCCTCCCCAGGTCCTTCAGCTTCTCCAAAGTCATCAGCTGGGAGGGCCCCACCACCAGTTAGCTTCTCTGGCCAGTCTGGCCACCGTGGCTAAGTGAGTGTGGTATGACCATTTTCTTCCTTCCCCAAGTCAACCACGGCAATTTCAACATTTTCCCAGAGAAACATGTCTGGAAACTGAGGGAAGGAACCCTGATCAGAATACAACAAAGTCTAGAAGGTTTGGTCTCAGGAGGCAGATCTGGAGCCTTCCTATCTTCACTGCATGCTTGTGCATGCAGCTGCATCTACTGAGCCCTTGCTAGGAATTTAGGAGGCAGACAAGCCTGGGTTCAGGTGTGGGCTCCACATAGGCACTGCTTGACTTTTGGCAAGTCCTTGGCACCCTGGGGACTTCATCTTAACCATCTGTAAGGCAAGGGTCCTCAGAAAGACCTCACCAGATTCTGGTGATGAGTCAATGAAGTAATGTCTCCAAGGCTGGAAGTCCAAGATCAGGGTGCCCACGTGGCTGGGTTCTGGTGAGGACCCTCTTCCTGACTTGCAGACTGCTGACTCGCTGGGTCCCCATGTGGGCGGGGAGAGAGCTCTCTGGTCTCCAAACCAGCTCACGGAGATCCTAGTGCAGAGGAGATGTACAGCATCTTGTTTCCTCCGCCTCCCTGCCCCTGGTGTCTTAGCGAACTGCCTGTTCAGAGCCAGCCCCGGGGTCTCCTTTTGTCACAAGCTTCCTCCCTATTCAGGGGCCTACAAGTGGGAAAAGAAGGGTAGAGACTAGCAGCTCTAGCCACTTCCCAGGTGTTCCTTGGTCTGACTTGGAAGAGGCAGGTGCACAGTAGTGAACACCACTTTAACACACACACACACACACACACACACACACACACACAAACACAAACACTTCCTGAGGGCCTTCCACGTGCCGGGTAATTCCTACCTCCTGGCTAGTCCACTCTGCACAACCCTGTGAGGCTACTGTTGTTAGCAACCCATCTTGCAGATAAGAAAATAGAGGTGTCAGAACATTTAGAACAAAGCAAACTTG